CGCTGAAAGAACGGAGGTGGCTCCAGGAAAATGGGAGAGGTCGAAGAAGCCCTTCTCTGGAGGAAGGATGGAGAAAAGGGGGGGAAATAGAGCAAAAGAGGGAGATCAGGAGGGGAGAGAGAGAAAATAGAGGGAGGAGGAGAGGTGATGTCAGCCAGCCTCTGGCCACTTTCTGGGGACTGGGGACAAAGGGAGGAGACAGCTGGCATGATGGGACGGTGGGAGGAGGCCTCCCAGAGAGCCTCCCAGAGGTGCCCACTGCCACCCCCCAGTTAAGGCAGCCACTCCCTCGCAAGTCAGCCGGGCCCCTGAGGAGCGGGTAGGGCAGAGGTGGCCACACCCATCATCAATCAGTCTATCAGTAGCTCTGGCCTGGGTTTCTGAAGTCGTGAGGCCCAGAGGTTTGGCCCCATTGGACAGAATTCAAACCTTAACACAAGGAGGAGCTCTCCACAGCCCCACCTCTGCTTTCTGCCCAGCACGTCTTATGGTGTGAATCCAAACAATTCTGTCCCCTTTCCACCCTTCCCTAGACCCTGTGATTCCCGGGGAAAGCAAGGCTGCTGCTTGCTTTCTGACCCCCTCCAAATGGGTACTCTGGGCAGGAGGACTGTGAGGCTGGAAAGGCGAGAAGCATGGCTCCTGACATCCTCCCATACCCCTCAAGGATGAGTTCAGTTTTCACTCCTCAGACCAAACTCCTTTTAGCTCCTCAATCTGTATGATGGTGAGAAGACCTTAACTCAGAGCCTGGAGAGGGGGAGGTCCTGAAAACAGTAGCTCAGGGCTAGCTGGTCAGCTGGTCTGCTTTGCAGTCCCAGGAGGTAGATTTTTCTTTTTACCTAGAGGTGGGGAGTGGCATTTACGCTAATCAAACTCACAGGGTCCTAATAACAGCTGATAGTTTTTGAGCATATACTGGCCCTGGGCTGGTCCTAAGCTTTATCTTGGTTTGTCCTGGTTGTTTGATGCATTATCTCCTCCAGTCCTCGCCACAACCCTGTGAGGATAGTGCTGTTATTATCCGGAAATGGATATTTGGATATGGACATGGAATTCTACAAAGGAGGAAACCGAAGGCTTGGGAAGTTCAAACAACCTGCCCAAAGTCACCCAGTTAGAAAGGGACAGAGCCAGGACTCAACCCGGGGTCTGTCTGCCTCAGAACTGTGCTCTTCACCCCCTGCCTAATCCAAAACACTAATTTCTAATTTACAATTAGAAAGAAGAGTGCTGAGCTAACCAGGAATTTGTGCCATCTGGTTAGCATGTTTTCTTTCTGTGGGATAATATCCTTTAGAAGCCAAAATATAATCAGAAAATGGTTTGATCTGGAACCAGGCAAGAGGAAAAGTCAGTTTGTTGTTAAAATCACCCAGCCATGAGGGCTGGACCACCTCTCCATGCAGGGAAATGCCAGTCAAGAGAAACATGCACTCCTGCTGGCTGAGCAGGGCCTCCTTCTGTCCAGGGTCTGGGGGCCAAATGCACCCCTGCCAGAGATCTTTAGCTTGAGACGTTTTACTGAATTAGGCCACATGGATTCCCTACTCCGGTGATGCCTAACTACCCGCTCTCCGCCACCGCTGCTTGGGGTCCTGCCTGCAGGCATGGTCACTTCGCAAGCATAACCCAACCAAAATATATTTCGATACTGTGAGTGGTGTAAGCTTGATTCTACCGAAGGACAACACGAGACCGGAGCCCTGTGAGGGGTGAATAGCAAAGGAAAGTCGGGTATAATGAAGACTTCGTATGTGCTTGAGTCATGTTTGAGTCATGGACTCTACTTAACCAAGAGGTTAAGTTACTAATAGAAGAAGAAAAAAGTAGAACCTCATGTTTGTGATCGTGGAGAAACAGTAGGGGGTGATTGAGAGTGCTGGCTCTGGAGTCAAACAGCCTGGGGTTCAAGTCACCTCCACCAGCGGCACCAGCCCTCTGTTGTGGGCAGAGTCCTACCCTATCTGTCCCAGCCTCCTTTCCAAATGGGGATAATGATGGCTCCTTCCTCATAAGGATGTTTTGAGATTAAATGAGATGAGATGATTAGTGTGAAGACTTGCACCATGTCTGGATCCATAATTTGCACTTAGTATCTGTGACTTACCACCTGAGCAGGTGGCTCTCAAAGCAACAAAGCTTAGATGTCCCTGCCAGACAGGCCTGGAAACAGGCTGATAAATGTTTGCTCTTGGTTGGTCTGCCAGGCCCTCCTCCACACACACGCACACACACACACACACACAGTAGAGTGTATACTCTTTCTCCTCTCCAGGGTAACGTCGGCTTCCTCTGATAGAACCTTATTTGCTGAGACTGAGAACAAAACAGTTGCTTCAGTTTCTGTTTTCTTCCTTTTTATGCCCGGGCACTGTCTGGGCTGGGTTTTTCCCAGTCTCTCTCAGACTGATGGGTCTCTGCTGCCACTCAATCTAATTCTGCTTGTGGGGGATGCTGAGTGGGAAACAGGGATGGTGAAGGAGATTCTCTGGCAGACCTTAGCAGGGCTTTCTCATGTACACAGAGCTTTGGAGGAAATTCATTCAACACATGTTCATTGAGACCTGATTCCAGGTGAAGCCCTTTCACAGGGGCCAGGAATATAGCAGTCCCTGTTTTCCCAGAGCTTACAGGGTAAGGGAAGAGATAGATAATAAGAAACGAAATTGGCAAATAGTATGAAGTATGATGAAGGAAACAATGGTGGAGACAGACACAGAGTGGGGTAGGGAGAAGAGTGAAGAAAAGACCTCTTTGAGAAGGAGAGACTTAAGCAGAAGTGAAGGATGCAAAAGGGCCAGTCAGGTGATGAGTCAGGGCAAGAGCATTCTGGGTTAAGGAAACCACAAGTACAAAGGCCCTGAAGCGGGAAAGAATTTCTCTAGTTCAAGGAATAGAAGGGAAGAGGAAGAGTACGGGGATGAAGCTGGAGACAAGGCAGGACCCAGTCAAGAAGAGCTGAGTCAGTTCAGATTTGTAGCTTGAGGGAAATGGGGAGCTCTCTGATATTTCTGAGCAAGGGACCTGATGACCTGATATGTGTGTGAGACCCCTCTCCCCACTCCCGCCTCACCCACCAGGCCCAGCTGGCCCGGGCACTCTACGACAACACCGCTGAGTCCCCCCAGGAGCTGTCCTTCCGCCGAGGGGACGTTCTACGGGTACTGCAGAGGGAGGGCGCCGGTGGGCTGGATGGCTGGTGCCTCTGCTCTCTACATGGCCAGCAGGGCATTGTGCCCGCCAACAGAGTGAAGCTCCTTCCTGCTGGCCCAGCACCCCAGCCCAGCGTCACCCAGGTGCCCCCAGCCCAGCCTGGCTCACCACATCCAGCCCCAGAGCACAGCAATGAGGACCAGGAGGTGAGAGCTGGAGCCCTCCCCACCCCAAGCCGGAAGAGCCCCATTCCACTCTGCTGGTACCTGCAGCAAGGTGGGGCAGGGCGATCCCTGAGACAGTCGCTCTTCACGGACCCGGTGCTGGGTGAAACCTGTCTGCCACCCTTCCTGGGCTCTTATCCCATTGGCATGGGGGGGAGTTGGAAGGGGTGTTAGCTTCTCTATGGCATATATTAGCTGCTTCTCTTGTCCCCACTCCTGACCCACCCATCTGTCTTGACCCCCCAGGTATATGTGGTGCCACCCCCAGCTCGGCCCTGTCCTACCTTAGGACCTCCGGCTGGACCCTGCCCGCCCTCCCCTGATCCCATCTACAAGGTCCCCAGAGGGAGTGGGGCCCAGCTGGCTGCCCCTGGAGACACCGTGGAGGTGAGGGCTAGACATCCATGTGTATGTTGGGCAGGGAACAGAGGGCTCTCAGTGGGCGTCCACCGCGGAGTCAGGATACCGATGGCTCTGCTCCCTCTCCAGGTCTACGACGTGCCCCCCACTGCCGTCCGAGTTCCCTCCAGTGGACCCTATGACTCCCCTGCCTCCTGCACCCGCCCTCTGGCCCGGGTTGCCCCACAACCCCCTGGAGAGGATGAAGCTCCCTATGATGTGCCTTTGACCCCAAAGCTACCGTCAGACCTGGAACCGGATCTCGAGTGGGAGGGAGGCCGGGAACCCGAGCCCCCCCTCTATGCTGCCCCCTCCAACTTGAAACGGGCCTCAGCCCTGCTCAATCTATACGAAGCACCGGAGGAACTGCTAGCAGATGGGGAAGGTGGAGGCACCGATGAGGGCATTTACGATGTGCCCCTGCTGGGGCCAGAGGCACCCCCTTCTCCAGAGCCCCCAGGAGCCTCAGCCTCCAATGACCTGGACACCTTGGCCCTGCTTCTGGCCAGAAGCCCCCCACTCCCACACAGGCCCCGCTTGCCCTCAGCCGAGAGCCTGTCCCGCCGCCCTCTGCCTGCTCTGCCTGTCCCTGAGGCCCCCAGCCCTTCCCCTGCTCCCTCTCCTGCTCCAGGCCGGAAAGGCAGCATCCAGGATCGACCTCTACCCCCACCCCCACCCCGCCTGCCTGGCTATGGGGGCCCCAAGGTTGAGGGGGACCCAGAGGGTGAGGAGGTAGAGGACGATCCAACAGGACACCACAATGAGTATGAGGGCATCCCGATGGCTGAGGAGTACGATTATGTCCACCTGAAGGTGAGCTCCCCTCCCACCAGAAATGCCCCCCAAGATAACCAGAGGGAGGAGTGAGGAGGCCTGGGGCCAGAGGGACCCTCCCTCTCTTCCCTCCTCCCTTCCTCCACTGGCCCTGCACCCTATGGCCTGGGACCCCAGTACTTGGTCCCACCACTTGTACTGGTGCCACACTCTTAAACCCAGCCTGGGGTCCCCAAGCCATCTGACCTGCCACCAGAACTCTCCCAGACTTGGAGTCAAGGGCCTGCAACCTCTGATGGCTGTAGAGACCTGGGGAAGAAAGGGGGAGGGGGCAGGGGCAGGAACACAGCAGCAGAGGGGTGGGGGACACCTGCCCTGCTCCTCCACCCCTGCTCTGAGACCCTGGTCCCTCCCACAGGGCATGGATAAAGCTCAGGGATCTAGGTCCCTGGATAAAGCCTTCCCAGGGGATCCTGAACTGCCGGAGAGGGGGTCACCGGAGCAGCAGGTAACCCTGTGGGGACGGTGCTAGAGAAGGGGGACAGGAAGGAGGAACAGGAACTTGGAGGAAGCAGCAAGGGAGAGAGATTAGGGTGGGGTAAGAACTCAGGGAGCCAGAGCTGGGGTAGAGAGAAGCGAGAATTCAGCAGGAAGGACTGGAACCTGGAAAAGGATATCAGGAATTCAGAAAGAGGGGAAAGAATGTGTTGGAGAGGAATCAGTAAACCAAGCAGCCAAGGAAGCAGAGAGAATTTTGGGCTGGGCCAGGTGACTTCTGAAGCTCCTTCCAACTGTGAATTCCTGGGTTCCTAAGAGACGGGGCTTCTAATCCCAGCTCCACCAGTAAGAAGCCAGGGGCCCTGAAGTCACCAGTTAATCTCTCTGGGCCTCAGGAAAGTGAGGTGGTCTCCCTAACTGTCTAGAATGGTCCTAAGCATAGCTACCATTTATCAGGCAGATGCCAAGTGCGGACCCTGTGCTAAGCACATCGCACAGGTCAGCACTAATCACAGCCACAGTCAGTACTGGTACAGTGCTCACCGTGTGCAACGTTCTGTTCTAAGCCCTCTCTGCGTGCTGCGGCATTCACCGCCCCGCAGCCTTGGGAGGCAGGCGCTAGAACGGCACTATCCAATATGGTGGCCACTACCCACATGCGGCTACTGCGCACTTGAAATGTAGCTAGTCTGAACTGAAAGGCACTGTAAGTATAAAACAAACGCACACCAGGTTTTGCACTTAGAATGAAAAGAAACGTCAGTCATTTTTATATTGATTACATGTTGAAATTACAACAATTTTTATATCTGGAGTTAGGAAAAAAAATCTTTCTTTTTACTTTTCTCAACATGGCTACTCGAAAAATTTTGATTACACACGTGGTTCACATTATGTTGATACTGGACAGCATAAAATGGGCCAGATGCCCCATTTTCGAGATAAGGAACCAAGTTCAGAGACTAGTTTGAATCCAGATTGATCTGACATCAGCTCCTCCGGGCACTTTCCTGGCCCTGGCTATGAGAATTTCAATGTTCTGGTGGGCAGGGGGAGGAGCTTGGGTAAAAAGGAGGGAATGAAGGGAAGGAATGAGGAACCGAGGAAGGGAAGGAGGGAGGAAAGCCCTGCCGGAGTAGCACCACCGGAGCGTGCCCGCCAACCACTCCTCTTGCCGCCAGGAGGCCCCATCCCCAGGGGAGCCGCTGGATCTGCCCACCGGAGACCTACAGCTCCTGCACTTCTACGCAGGCCAGTGCCAGAGCCACTACTCAGCACTGCAGGCGGCCGTGGCGGCCCTCATGTCCAGCACCCAGGCCAAGCAGCCCCCACGCCTCTTCGTGCCCCATGGCAAGCGGGTGGTGGTGGCCGCTCACCGCCTGGTGTTTGTTGGGGACACTCTGGGTCGGCTGGCGGCGTCCGCCCCTCTGCGAGCGCGGGTCGGGGCTGCAGGTACAGCGCTGGGCCAGGCACTGCGGGCCACGGTGCTGGCTGTCAAGGGGGCTGCCCTGGGCTACCCGTCCCACCCTGCGGCCCGAGAGATGGCGCAGCGCGTGGCGGAGTTGGCAGGGCAGGCCTTGCAGTTCACCTCTCTGCTCTCCAGCCTGGCTCCCTGAGGGCCCCCTCGGGGCCCTGCTCCACCCCTCTCCTGCCTGCCGAAGCTCCCTTTTGGGCCTTGGGCGGCCAGAGGGCTCCATTTTAGGGACCAGGAGAGGTGGGGGCGTCTTTCCCCTTCCAGTCATCTCAGTCTCTCACAGAGATGTCCCTCCCCCTCCCGCAGCTTTTTGTACGAGCCATTTTGTATAAATTATTTATATTTAATATTATTCCCTGTTTTGTCAGGGGCAGGTGCCAGGCCCTTTGGGGCAGGGAGGAACTGGACTCTTTTCTCTCAGCCTAGGGTGGAGGTTCTTGGTCACTGCACTGCCCCCCACCTCTGGAAATGGCCCCACAGAGAAGCAGGTGGCTGAAGCCTGGGGCCACCCAGAGCCCCTTTCTTGTCCTGGTTCTTGGCTCTAGAACATCAGCACCTCACTGTTGGTCGAGAGTGAGGGCAGGACATTGACCGCCCAAAATGTGGAGGTCTGGGAGAGGCCCGACGGCTCCTCCCCACGGGAGGCAGGACAGAGCTGGGCCTCAGTAAGCCCTGCTGTCTGGTTCTCTGCCTCTGCTTCTTGGGTCCTTGGGGGAGGAGCTAGGCCTGGTGGCCCTTGGCCAAACCGACAGGACACACACTGTGGGCAGGATGTCCTTAGGTTTGGGGGGAGATTTTGCTGTTATTTTCAGTAACTATTCATTCGGCGGGTTTCAGCTCCCATGATGTGCCAAGCACAGTTCTGAAGGTACACTGTGGGATGGGATGGACATAATTGCGTCAGTTAAAATAAGTAAATAAAAAAAAAAATACCTGCCACAGATTCAACAGTTGCTGGTAATGGAAATAAACAGGGTGATGTGAGGGACTAACTGGATGAGGGAAAGGCCATTGAAGGAGACTTTGGACAGGATGGTGGGGAGGTGATATCTAAGCTGAGGCCCCAGGGACGAGAGCACCAAGAAGAGTCTGAGAACTAGCATTCCCAGAAGGCAGACAGATTACTGACTGGGGTGGGGGCCTTTCCTTCAAGACTTCACTGTCACACAATGTCATTAGAGAGGTGCACATGTGGAGAGAGGTTGGCCTCACGTGAGCCTTGAAAGATGCCATGCTGAAGAGATCACCCCAGTGAAGGCCTATCCTCAGCTTGGCGCCACAGGACAGCTCTGGCCAACTGGACAGTGCTGCTGGCTGGCCTGGGTGCCCTCTCCCTTAGGTTAACGCAAGAAGGTCTGGCCCCTTCAGCCCCCCTTCCCAGGCCTCCTGCTGACCATCCTTCTAGACACCTTTTAGAGGAGCCAAGGAGCCAAGTGAATGCAATGTGCTGTTAGTCCACAGTCCTCAAGCACTGGTGAAATTGACAAGCCATGACTTAGATGGGAGATCACTCTAGCCACTTACCACAGGGAAGAAGTCCAAGCCACATATCCATTGCTTCCGTTGTACTTTCCCCAGATGACACCTTGGCACCGTGACTGGATTAGAGGCACCCCGAACTTCAGTCACAGTCTGAGTCTCTTGGCCCCCCTCTATGCCTTTGCCTTCTCCATTTTGGGTTCCTTCTTTCTCATTTCACTCTCCAAGAAAACTCATCCTCCAGACTCTGGGGTCACCCAAATTCACCCTTGTGTGTTGAAGACTTATAACAGGGCTATCCTCCATCATCTCCCAGAAAGAATGTCAAGAGATCAACCTGGAAATAGAGTCAGAGGTTTCAGTGCAAGTCCCAGATCTGCCATGCACCTATGTGTCTGCAGGTAAATCCCGTCAGTCCCTCTGAGTCCTGGCTTTACCTTTTTGTTTTGTTTTGTTTTATTTATTTATTTTTAAGACTTTATTCGGTTGACAGAGAGAGCGGCAGGCAGAGGCAGAGGGAGAAGCAGACTCCCTGCTGAGCAGGGAGCCGGATGCGGGACTCGATCCAGGGACTCCAGGATCATGACCTGAGCCAAAGGCAGTCGCTTAACCAACTGAGCCACCCAGGCGCACCCCCCCCCCGGCTTTACCGTTTAATAGGAGGATGATCATAATGGTCACACGGGGTTGTGAGGCCGTAACAAGATAATGCATGTGAATGGCCCAGTGCCACATAAAGTTAAGGGATTATATTACAATTTCAGGACAGACACAAGGACAATTGGATCCCCAAGCAATGTTGGCTGTGACCGCACCAAAGTAAATCCTAACGAGATACCGAAATGAGTCGGGGTAAAGGAACAGTGGGAAGCTGCTTAATGTATTAGAAGAGTTCCCATATTTGGAAAATTTCTGAACAGAGGAGACAAATTGGAAGTGTGTGGTTCAGTAGAGAGAAGAGGCAATGGACTTCCTGGTTGAGACTAACAGCACACTCCTTTCTAGCCCTTAACCTTAGACTGGAGAATACAGTATGTATTAGGTATTAAATATCTTAGAGAAGTGTGTTTCTAACTTGAGTGTACATATACCTGGGGATCTGGTTAAAAGGGAGATAATGATTCAAGGGCTTGGATTCTGCATTTCTAACAAGCTCCCGGATGACATGGGAGTACTGTTCTGTAAATCACACTTTGAGTAGCAAGTCTAGGGGTTAGGGTAGGCTTCTCTGAGGCAGATATGCTTCAGCTGATAGCTGAAGGATGAGAACTTGACTAGGAGAGGAGAAGCCCTCAGGCATAAAGACCAACTTGTGCAAGGGCCCTGTGGCATTGGAAAAACTGAAAGAAGGCCCGTACGATGAGTGCAGTCTGGGGAGAGAAGTGAGGTGAAGCACCAGGGAGCATGGGATCAAGCATGCAGGAGCATGTATGAGGCTTCTGGAATATTAGTATTTACCTTGTTGACGAGGAGGAGACATTGAAGGCTGTTAAGCAGGAAAGGGACACGAACAGATCTGCATTTTGAAAAAATCACTCCACCTGCACTAGAAATAAGGCTAGGGGAAGTGGGTGGAAACGATGTGGATGCAGAACACCAGTTAGGAGGCTTAAGCAGTCTGGGCAGCAGGTAGTTTGACTAACGGTGGTAGAGATGTAGAGAAACAGAGTAAGAACTACACAGGAAGTAAAATGGACAGCATTTTGTAAAGGATTTGACATGAGGGTAAGGAGGAGGCCTTGTAAGGGCTGTCACCTGAGCACCTGGCCACAGTTGAGTGCTGACGGTACCATTCACTGGGGGAAAGAAGCACTAGAGAACAATCACGTTACAGGGGGAAGGGCATGAGTTTGGTCTTGCACGTATTGAGTTTGAGGTCCCTGTGAGTCACACAAGGTTAAGAGGATGAATAAGTGGTGGCTTCATAGGTCTGGGGCTCAGAAGCGAGGTGGGAGCTGGAGATGTAGATCTGGAGATCAGGTTTGTATTGTTTATATCGGGGGTGAATGAGGCTGTGGACATGGGTGAGATTTCAAGGTGGGAAAGAACAGTGAAATGAGAGGTGGACCCAGGACCAAGCCTCAGGATCGCAGACACAATGATGGTGAAAAAGAGGAGGAGGAGCCTGCCATGGAGAAAAGAGGAGCAAGAGAAAGAAAACGAGGAGTGTATGAGACTTAGCAACCAAAAAAGGAAGTGTTTAGAGGAAGGGGTGGTCAACAGTGCCAAATGATGTTGAGAAATGACAAGACAGAGTGGTCTTGTAGAGGACCGCAACCAGGGCTGTTTACAGGGTCCAGCCCAGTCCTCCATGCACATACCCTGAACTGTAGTTGCCAGTATACACGGCTGTCTCCCAAGTAAGCTACTTCAAGGTGGTCTTGTCCATCCTGTCATCCCCCAAAGCCTAGCACAAGGCCAGGCAAATAACAGACGCTTAATAAATTTTACTGAGGAATCAGTGGATGGGTGGAAAGATGGCTGGACAGCTGGATGAATGAATGATGAGGAAGAATTGGAAGCAAAGAAGGACTTTCTGGCAACTGCCTGGGTAGCTACTATCCTTCAGCTTTCTTTCCTTTTTACCGCAATGGCCCGCAGACCCAGGGAACAGAGACAGAGCCCCTGGGCCCTGGCCCCCCTTCCTCCCTCTGACGAAGAGTCTGGACCGAAGGTTCTGCTGACGTGGGAAGGGGGAGGAGAGTCTGGAGGAAGGGGAGGGGAAATCAGCACAGAGATCGCAGAGACGAAGGAGGCGCCCGCGGCTGCAGAGCTGCAGAGCGGGGTCTCTCCGGGCTCTGTGTCCGGGCATCGGGCCCCCTACTAGGCCAGAGGACAGCGCATCCTTTCGGTGCAGGCCGGCAGGGCCCCTGCGGTCGGCAAGCTGGCTCCCCGGGTGGCCACCGGGACCCCCGAGCCCAATGGCGGGGGCGGCAGCAAAATCGACAGCACTGTAGAGATCACCCCCAGCCCCAACGGAGTAAGTGCCTGCGCCCTGGGGGCTACGCCATCATCCCCCCGCCCCCCCCGCCGCCGCCGCCAAGCGCCGGGCATCTTCCTCCCGAGCACCCCCCCGCCCCTGACCGCCTTCCTCGCGCCCGCCCTCTTCCCTTGCTCTGCGGCTTTCTCTGCTTCTCCGCTTCACCCCTCTCCCCCCCACCCCCCCAGCAGGTCGGGACTCTCGGAGATGCGGTGCCCACGGAGCAGCTGCAGGGTGAGCGGGAGCGCGAGCGGGAGGGGGAGGGCGACGCGGGCGGCGACGGAATGGGCAGCAGCCTGTCGCTGGCCGTGCCCCCCGGCCCCCTCAGCTTTGAAGCGCTGCTCGCCCAGGTGGGGGCGCTGGGCGGCGGCCAGCAGCTGCAGCTCGGCCTCTGCTGCCTGCCCGTGCTCTTCGTGGCACTGGGCATGGCCTCAGACCCCATCTTCACCCTGGCGCCCCCACTGCATTGCCACTACGGGGGCTTTGCCCCCAATGCGTCTGGCTGGGAGCAGCCCCCCAACGCCAGCGGCGTCAGCGTCGCCAGCGCGGCCCTAGCAGCCAGCGCCGCCAGCCGCGTCGCCACCAGTACGGACCCGTCGTGCAGCGGCTTCGCCCCGCCGGACTTCAACCATTGTCTCAAGGACTGGGACTATAATGGGTTGCCGGTACTCACCACCAACGCCATCGGCCAGGTGAGGCGGCCTGCTAGGCCGCGGGTCTGGGGGCGGGCCCAGAGCGGGGAGCACGGGGCCTCACGCGGCTATATCCCTCTCACATTCCCAGTGGGATCTAGTGTGTGACCTGGGCTGGCAGGTGATCCTGGAGCAGATCCTCTTCATCCTGGGCTTTGCCTCTGGCTACCTGTTCCTGGGCTACCCCGCGGACAGGTGAGGGCTGCAGTGGGGACAGGGCAAGTAGAGAGGAGGGGATGCTAGGGTGGTTAGCACAGACAGGTGGCCTTTGCACAAGGTGGAAGAGGATTCACTGGACTCTGCGGTCTTCTGGACTTCTGTTCAATGATATGCAGCCCCAGCCCTGTCTCAACTTCACTCCCCACCAAGAAGTACTCCTTCCATATCTCTTCTGCACAAGGGAATAATATACCACCCATTCCCCCATCCCCATATCCATGAATCAAGGGCTCATCCTCAAAGACAATAGCCCCATCCCAACTGACCAAAAACCCTGCCTCCACAGATCAAAAGTCCTAGCTCCTCCTCTATTGTCCCTGTCACCACTAACCACCTCCCTCTCTATCTTCATAGATTAATAGACTCATCTCCAGTAATAGCCCCATCTACATGACAGGTTTCATCTCAATGGCCTTATTCCTACAGATCATTATGTTAATTCCTAAATATCAACAGCCACATTCTCACTGACCTGTGTAGTTCAACTCTACAAATGACTCCACCCTTATGGGTCAGCAGTCCAGCCCCCATGGATCAATAACCACAATAGCACCCCCCCCCCCGAGATTAATAGTCCCATCCTCATGGATCTTCAGTGCTCTTAGATCCTCTCAGATCAAAAGCCCAATTTGCATGAATCAATGGCCTCATCTCAAAGATCAACAGCTTACTCCCACCAACCAATAGCCCTTCCAAGGGATCAAAACTCCCAATTCCTCTGATTCTTGACACCATCCACTGACCAGGTGTTCCATCTCCACTGACCATCCTCATGGATTATTAGATTCATCTCCACCCATCTACAGTCCCATCCAAATGGATTCATAGCTCAACTCCCATGGATCAAACGCAATCCATCATTCAATAATCCCTAAAATCAATACCTATCTTCACTGCCCAATAGCCACACACCCATTAGGCAAATGTTCCTAAACCCACAGGTCAACAACCCATTCTCATGCATTAGTGGTCTCATTCCCACAGACCAGTAGCATCATTCCTATGGAATAATACCCTCATTCCTAAATACCAATAATTCAGTCTCCTAAATTCAGTAGCCTTGGCCTCATTAACCAATAAGTTCATCTCCATGGGAAAATGAAGCTTCACTCTCAGGGATCAGTCCCCCTTCCCAATGATCAGTGACCCCTATCTTCATCCCCATAGTTCAGTGGTTTTGTTTTGTTTTTGTTTTTTTAAGATTTTTATTTATTTGACAGAGAGAGACACAGTAAGAGAGGGAACACAAGCAGGGGGAATGGGAGAGGGAGAAGCAGGCTTCCTGCTGAGCAGGGAGCCTGATGTGGGGCTCGAACGCCAGGACCCTGGGATCATGACTTGAGCTGAAGGCAAACACTTAACAACTGAGCCACCCAGGCACCCCAGATCAGTGGTCTTATCCCCAAAGATCAATAGTCCAGCCTCCAAGGATCAGTAGCCCTGTCCTCATTGACTCATAGTCAGTGACCATCATTACTGACCAATAGTCTCAGCTTCCCTAATCTGTGAACCCCTGCTTACTGATTATCCCCACGAATCATACCCCCATAGATTCATTCCCCATCGACCAATAGCCCCATCCACCCAAGGACTAATGTCCCCATCTCATGAATCAATGGCCTCAATCCCAAAGATATTTGTCCAGTCTTCAAAGATTAATGATCATGCCCATTGATCAATAGTTTACCCCATGGATTAATAAATAGTTATATTCCCATGGATCACTGGATCTTCTGGCAAGTGACCTCATCCCCACTGACCATCTTTATGGATTAATTGACCCATGAACCAACTCATGGAACAATGGCCTCATCCCCCAAAATCAATGATTCAGTTCTCTAAGATCAATAGCTACATCTTCACAAATATTATCCTCATGCATAAGTCGCCAATGACCTTGCCTACACAGATCTATAGTTCCAACCCCATATATCAATGACTTCATCTCCTTTGACCAGTCTGAGCAAGGCAAACTCTATCCCCATTGGCTAATAGCTCTATTCCCAAGGATCAATTGTTCCATGTCCCTTAAGCAGTATCTAATCTCCTTTAATGGTAGGTTTCACTTCCATGCTCTCATCTCTGACGGACAGGCCCATCCACAAGTCAATCCCCTGCAGATCCATAGCTACGTCCCAGTGCCCAGAACCCAGACATTGCTTATCCATGGTCCCCATCCCTTCCCATCTTCTCTAGCCTCAGTCCAACTTTTTATCCCAGGGCCTCATCCTCACACTTCCAGCTTTGAAGCCGGCAGCCTGGGCCCACCCAGCAACTCTTCTTCCAGGGAGTCTGGGTGACCAGAGGCCCTCCTCCCTTTCCAGGTTCGGCCGTCGAGGGATTGTGCTGCTGACCTTGGGGCTGGTGGGCCCCTGTGGAGTGGGAGGGGCTGCTGCAGGCTCCTCCACAGGTGTCATGGCCCTCCGATTCCTCCTGGGCTTTCTACTTGCCGGAGTTGACCTTGGTGTCTACCTGATGCGTGAGTGGCAGCTTCCCAGATGTCCTTCCCTTGAGGCTCCTGCCTGCCTGTCTGCATCCCCAGGCTGTTCCAACTGCCCCTTAGGGTCCCCTCAGTCCCTTCTTAGCCCCAAATTTCAGCTGTCCAGGATCTCAGCTGTCTTTTTGCCCTAGCCTTTGAAGGATCCAGGGCCTTTGCTTCTCTCCACACCCCTCCTCCTTAGCACCCCCCCCACACACACAAATCTTGGTGCCTTATTTAAAAATGAAATCCTGATAGCTGTATGCCCTTGGATAAGGGTTGATATGAAGGTCAAATAAGAGGTCTGATGTGAAAGGGCCTGTAAAATAGGAATGAACACTCACCAGGGACTCTGGCCCTTGAGCCCTCCCAGGTTTGAGTAGGAGAGGAGAGAGGACTGAACAGTCTCTCCACTCTTTGCCACTCAGAGGTTAGTCTGTGGGAGGTGATGGCTGCGGCCTCCACTCGGGGTCTGACCTCATTCTCTGTCCTCCCTCCCTCTCTCCTCTCTCCCATTCCTCCTTCCTCCCTGGCGTCTCCTCCTGTATCTCTAGGCCTGGAGCTGTGCGACCCAACCCAGAGGCTTCGGGTGGCCCTGGCAGGGGAGTTGGTGGGGGTGGGGGGGCACTTCCTGTTCCTGGGCCTGGCCCTTGTCTCTAAGGACTGGCGATTTCTGCAGCGAATGATCACCGCTCCCTGCATCCTCTTCCTGTTTTATGGGTTAGTATCATCCTCCACCTGTTGTCTGGCCATCCCCACCTCTATCTCTAGCCTGGCTCTAGCCTGGAGACCCTTCCTCTTCTCCACTACCCCTTGTCCAGACCTGCCCCAGCCCCGGCCCCTCAGAGGTGGGAGTTTCCCACCCCTGGATCAGGAGATGGGAGACCTCAGAGTGCACCCCTACCCCCACCCCATCCCTAGCTGGCCTGGTCTGTTTCTGGAGTCTGCAAGGTGGCTAATAGTGAAGCGACAGATTGAGGAGGCCCAATCCGTGCTGAGGATCCTGGCTGAGCGGAACCGGCCCCATGGACAGATGCTGGGAGAAGAGGCGCAGGAGGCCCTGCAGGGTAAGAGACAGGGGTCCCTATAGGTGATACCTCACATGCACACGATAGTACCCTCTCCATGGTTATAGCTGTGCCACCTCCCAGGGTCCCCACCACCCACGTGGGAGGACCCTGGATTCTCAGCTGTTTCTTCTAACAGACAGCTCCTCTCTCTTTCCCAAAGACCTGGAGAACACCTGCCCTCTCCCTGCAACATCCTCCTTTTCCTTCGCTTCCCTCCTCAACTACCGCAACATCTGGAAAAATCTGCTTATCCTGGGCTTCACCAAGTGAGCCTGGGTATCTGAGCCAAGGGCCAGGCCAGTAGCTGGAATGGGGGCTGGCTGGGTGGGGAAGGCCTGAGGACCCCTGCAGAGGGCAGCCAGGGCAGTGGAAGGCTGTGCATGGGGATTCAGACACTGCTGTTTGCTTTACCCCCCTTCTCACAGCTTTATTGCCCACGCCATTCGCCACTGCTACCAGCCTGTGGGAGGAGGAGGGAGCCCATCGGACTTCTACCTGTGCTCCCTGCTAGCCAGCGGCACAGCAGCCCTGGCCTGTGTCTTCCTGGGGGTCACCGTGGACCGATTTGGCCGCCGGGGCATTCTGCTACTCTCGATGACCCTCACAGGCATTGCGTCCTTGGTCCTGCTGGGCCTGTGGGATTGTGAGCATCCTCCCTTCCCCACAGTGTGGGCTGAGCAAAGGAACCCCAGCAGAGGTGCCTCAGACAGGCTCAGCCACTGCTTCTGGCACAGGTCCCCCCAAGACCAGACCAGACCCTGCCCAGACCTTCCACAGTCCTCCCCGTGGCCACACAACCCTGTCTGTTCTCCCAATCAATTAGTGGATGCCCAGAGCCCACCCGGCTAGAGCCATGGGATCAGAGAGCCAAGGGGATGATGCCAGGGCCTAGGCCAAGCATGATCTCACCTCCATTCACATCCTGCCTCTTGGTACTCCAGATCTGAACGAGGCTGCCATCACCACCTTCTCGGTCCTTGGCCTCTTCTCCTCCCAAGCTGCTGGCATCCTCAGCACCCTCCTTGCTGCTGAAGTCATCCCTACCACTGTCCGGTGAGAGCAGTGCTGCTCCGGCTGAGGAAGGGCCTGAGGGAGGGAGGGAAGGCTTCTGGAGAAAGGTTGGGGTGAGGCCCACAGCTAGAGGCTGAGTGCCTCCTCCATCTCTACCAGGGGCCGAGGCCTGGGCCTGATCATGGCACTGGGGGCTCTTGGAGGGCTGAGTGGCCCAGCGCAGCGCCTCCACATGGGCCATGGAGCTTTCCTGCAGCATGTGGTACTGGCAGCCTGTGCCCTCCTCTGCATCCTCAGCATCATGCTTCTGCCGGAGACCAAGCGCAAGCTCCTGCCCGAGGTGCTCCGGGATGGGGAGCTGTGCCGCCGGCCCTCCCTGCTGCGGCAGCCACCCCCTAACCGCTGTGACCATGTCCCACTGCTCGCCACCCCCAACCCTGCCCTCTGAGTGGCCTCTGAGCACCCTGGCAGGAGGCTGGCTCGTACTGAAAGGTGGCGTAAGGCCCTGGCAAGCAGGTTGGGAGGACTGAGTGAGGAAGACAGGGCTGCCCAGAAGGCTCAGAGGCACCTCACGCCAGCCATCAAGGAGGGCTCAGAGGGCTGTCCCCACCCCCATCTCCTCCCTGCTGCTTTGTGTTCACTTCCTTGGCAAGAGTCAGGGGACAGGGAGTGAGCTCCACAGTGTAACCACTAGGTCTGGGCTCCATCCTGTGCCCAAAGACATCCTCCCAGACTTCATTCTTTCTTGCTCTATCATTCTGTTTCAATAAAGACATTTTGAATAAATGAGCATACCATAGCCTGGACTTCTCTCCCTTCTGTTGTCCTGTCTCTTGGGGGAAGCTTTCTTTGAGTGGAACCAAAATCAGTAACAATCTCCCTCCCCACCTTCCTGTGCCTTGCCTCTCTGTTAACTTACACACAGCCACCACCCTTTATGGATGGCTTGCTATGCTGCTAAGACTGGGCTAGGCACTTCACAAACTGCACTCAACCATTTAGTCCTTCCAACACCCCAAGGTCGGTGTTTGGATCAACTAGAAGTTTTTTTATTGTTGCAAGCAATAAAAACTGACCATAATGAACTTAAACAAAAAGGGGAATTTATTAGAGGGATGTGGTGGGGAGCTCACAGAACAGACAGAGAAGCAGAACTACTCATAAAAGGTCAGGAACCAGAGAGGCCCCCTCTCCAGGGAGTAGGAACCAGGGCCTCACCTGGATGAATGACCTCCCGTGGGATTCCATCTTTGGATCATCCCACTGATGATTCATTTCCAGACAGCAAATGACTGGCTAGCTTGAGTAACATGCCTGCATCCCTACCCATATTACTGACAACTGGGAAGATGGAAAGCCACAACTGAGTGCTGTTAGCAGAAGTAGGATTGGATGTTGTGCAGGTAACAATGGATGCCCACTATAGTAGTCTTCTTTTACAGGTAAGAAAACTGATACTCAGAGAGACTCAGTAACTTGGTCAAGGTTACAAAGCTAATGAGTGACAGAGCTAGGACACAGTTAGATCCTGAAGCTAGAGCTCTTCATTGATGCACACTGTGGCCACCTTCCCAACTCCTTCCAATCTTTAGGCACTACCCGTGGAAGCGAGGAGTGAGTTTCGGAGCACCCCAGGAGTTGGCCATAGGAGACTATTACTTTTCCCTCAGTGCCAGGGCCTGGCTGGCTCTCAGACTAGCCCTGGCCTGGCTTTACCACTTTGGGTGGATCTCTTTACCTCCAACTCCCTTCAAGGGTTGCTCTGAAACAAGATCATGTATTACAAATGCCTCTTAAATTACCCCACTAAGTGATCAGCTCCTTGAGGGCAGGAACTTTAAAACACCAAAGCCTGACACGATAGATGTTCAGAAAGCTATTAATGTGTTCATTCTTTCAGCAAATGTTTCCTGTGACCGGTACCATCCTGGATATTTAGGGCTTAGGCCATCCTTCAAGGACCTTACAAATCCATCTAATACTAGGAATATTAATGAGGAGGAAGAGAGGCCAGTGGTTTGGAGCACCAAACAGCTGCATCCTGAAGCAGGTGAGACTTCACTCAGAGAGGCAGGAAGTCCTCTGGCAAGGGCTTAGGAGAAAAGTACAGTGCTTTCAACCCAAAGGTTATAGGGAGAGCAAAGGCCTGAAGGTAGGAAAGGGTGAGGTGGTCCTGGAGAGGAGGATTCTTAGGGAAACTAGTCTTGAGGGCAGCCTCTTTCGGAGAAGGGAGGCCCGTTCTCCATAGGTTCCTGTAGCACCAGTGTCCTCTCTCCTTACCCTCTGCCGATCCATGTCTGAGGGCCAAAGCTCTATGCGCTAAGCCATGCTGCAGGACTCTCAATACTAACCATGGTCCTGGAGAACTCGTAAGAACCTTTCTCATTTAATCTTCACAGCCCTCTGAAGTGGGTATTATTTTTATCCTATTTAACTACTGAGACATGGAAATGAGAAGGATCTGCCATTAAATGGCCGAGCCAGGACTCAAACCCGGGCCTTCTGGTTGCACTTTCAACTCTACCAGTTCCTTCAGTTATGTACTCTGTATCATACATTCTGTAAAACAAGGTCTGTGAACAACGTAACTAATTCCAGTGTTCACTGTTTAGCTTGGGATAGACAATGATAAAACAAGAGATCATATTCACTACTGTCTCCAGAGATTTGGTGAAAACCAACACAATGGTAGATAAAGAAAGCTCTTGTAAGATTTTTGGAAGATCCCCTGTAAAGCCAAGGAGTTATTTATATGCTAATGACACCATCCAATACATACTGTGAGGAATGGTGTCAAAGGGGCATTCCAGTAAACCCATTCTTTGCACCCCACTGGAAGAAGATTCAGGGGAAAAAAGTAAAAACTCTCAAGAAAGTTAGAGCAGCTCCTGTAGAAGGGTAGGTGAAAGAGAATAAGATTCTCTGACTTCAACAAAGAGGTGAAGGCAAAGAAAATGAAAGCATTCGAGAAGCATCAGTGAAGCACAGGAAGATACAGTCCCTTATCCCTAAGCAATTCATAGTCTAGGTCAAAAGGGTCAGCGTGTACAGCTAAAACAACTGGCATCTCGTTCTAAAATTCACCAACCACATATGTCACTTGACCCTCATCAATAACCCCATGAGAAACAGTTCTCATTTTTTAGGTTTTTACAAATGGGGAGACGGAGGTTTGGAAAGGTAATTTATTCAAGGTTATGTGACTGTTAAGTAATCAAAGTAGCCAGATCCAGAGAACTGAGAGTCTGCAGTCTTCTTACTGCATGCCAGATAGAAAATAGTTCTAAGCACCATGAAAGTATTACTTATCCTGTAATCAGTTTAGAAGATAGCCCAGGAACTGGAGATAGCTTTCCAGGCAAGTAAGGAAATGACTACTTTCATGAACATGAAACAGATTTTAGAAATGTTTTAGTTGGATTCACAACTATGAGCCATAGTGGATTATTGAGGGGGAATATATTCTATATTAAAAGAATATACGGGGTACATTTCTAACCTTAAGCTACATGAAATGACATGAAGGCCACTCTGATTCCTCTCATCCGGTCAACCTTGCCTGGCCACCCCGGAACCAATTTCTGCTGATGATCCACAACTGTCTGGTGCTGCCTCAGTGCTGGGGGAAGGGCCATGGTCCTTCCCTGCGAGAGTTCCAAACACTGTGAGACTAATACTTACAATCCTATATGGAAAATGCAGAGAAATGTAAAAAGTGTTGCAGCGGCTCTGCAGAAGGAAGGATCTATTATTTTGGAGACAGTCAAGGAAAGCTTGTCAGATATTTGGACTGGAACAGTTCAAGGCCCAGAGGTATGACAGAATATGAACGGTGTGCAGAGAGAACAGGAAGTGTTTAAACAACCATGGAATAGAGGGAGACTGAAAAAACCCACAGCTAATCCTATTTATCATGACCAACTGAGAGCTCTTCCCCAAAGATCAGGAATAAGACAAAGATGTCTGCTCTCACGGCTTCTGTTCAACATTGTACTGGAAGTTCTAGCCAGGGAAATGGGGCAAGAAAATGAAAAAAAAAAAAAAAAGACACCTGGAATATAAGGACTATGTAAAACTGTATTTGCAGATGGCATGATCTTGTATATAGAATCCTAAGGACTAGACACACAAAAAAACTTAGAACTAAACAAACAAGTTCAATAAAGTTACTAAACTTAAAATTAAACTTGTAGGATACAAGATCAATGTACAAAATCAACGGAACCTCTACCCAAAGCAATGAACAACCTGAAAGCAAAATTAAGAAAACTCCATTTAATATAGCAAAAAAACAACAGGAATAAACGTACTAAAAGAAGCATTAAGGGGCGCCTGGGTGGCTCAGTCGTTAAGTGTCTGCCTTCGGCTCAGGTCATGATCCCGGGGTCCTGGGATCGAGTCCCGCTTCGGGCTCCCTGCTCCGCGGGAAGCCTGCTTCTCCCTCCCCCACGCCCCCTGCTTGTGTTCCCTCTCTCGCTGTGTCTCTCTGTCGGATAAATAAATAAAATCTTTAAAAAAACCAAAAAAAGCAGCAGCATTAAGACACTCACTGAAAACTACAAAACACTGTTGAAAGAAATTAAAGAAGACTTAAATAGACATACCACTTCCACAGTTTGGAAGACTTAATATTGTTACAATGGCAATCCTCCCCAAATTGTTCTACAAATTCAATGCAATCCCTATTAAAATCCTGGCTTTCTTTTTTGCAGAAACTGACAAGGCGGATTCTGAAATTCATATAAAATGTACAAGACCCAGAAGAGCGAAACAATCTTGAAAAAGAGCAAACTGGGAGGCTTCATACTTCCCACTTCCAAAACTCATCACAAAGTTACAGTGATGAACACAGTGTAGTACTGGCACAGGACAGCTATACAGATCAATGCAGTAGAATTGAGACTCCAGAAATAAACCTATACATTCATGGTTAATTAATTCATTTTCTTTTTCTTTTTTTTTTTTTAAGATTTTATTTATTTGACACACAGAGAGACAGCGAGAGCGGGAACACAAGCCGGGGGAGCGGGAGAGGGAGAAGCAGGCTTCCTGCTGAGCAGGGAGCCCGGTGCGGGGCTCGAGCCCAGGACCCTGGGATCATGACCTGAGCCAAAGGCAGACGCTTAATGACTGAGCCACCCAGGCACCCAATTAATTCATTTTCAACAAGGGTGCCAACACCATTTAACAAGGAAAAGAACGGTTTTTTAAACAAATGGTGCTTAGACAAATGCATATCTGCATACACCACACACAACAGTTCATTCAAAATGTATCAAAGACCTAAATATAAGGGCTAAATTATAAAACTTTTAGGAGAAAACAGGGGCACCTGGGTGGCTTAGTTGGCTAAGCGGCTGCCTTTGGCTCAAGTCATGATCTCAGGGTCCGGAGATCGAGCTCCACGTCAGGCTCCCTGCTCAGTGGGGAGTCTGCTTCTCCCTCTCCCTCTGCTGTTCCCCCTGCTTGTGCTCGCTCACACTCTCACTCAAATAAATGAAATCTTAGAAAAAAAAAAAAAAAAAAAAAACTTTTAGGAGAAAACATAGGCACAAATCTTCATGACTTTTGTGCTTCAAAGGATACTATCAAGAAAAGTGAAAAAGCAACCTACAAAGTGGGAGAAAATATTTGCAAATTATATATATAAGCATCTAGTATTCAGCATATAGAAAGAACTCTTACAACTCATCAATAAAAAGACAAATAAGCCAATTAAAAAGTGGGCAAAGAATCCAAACAGACGTTTCTTCAAAGAAGATATACAGATGGCTAGTAAGCACGAGAAAAGATGCTCAA